CGCTCTTGGTACCGTTCTCTCGGAAGCCCTCGGCGCTCTCTACTGGTCGAACGCTCTGCTCTGGTATCAACTCGTCATCGCTTTTGTCAATACAATTCTCGATCGTGGTGTTTTCATTCAGGCAGGGGTCGGCTTCACCATGCTTGGTGCTGCTGCGATCGGCCGCTTCAAGGACATCGAGTTGGGCCTCTCTTATGGCGACCTTGCCCAAGAATTCTACACCATGTTTGATGATGCTTGGACGCGAGGCAGGGGTTGGACCCTGTACACACTCTTTATTGGTCACTACCAGACTCCGGTCCGAAATCTTCTCCCTATCCTCGATAGCGCGCTCGAATATTCCCTCTCATCCGGGGACAAGTTTGTTAGCATCCTGAACGTTGGATCCATGGCTCTTTCAAGATTTTGGGCTGGACAGGATCTCGGTGAAGTGGAGGCGTTCTGCAATTATGGCCCAGAAGAGTTTGATGATTGGGCCAAAGATCGACGAGGGGGAACACTCCTGATTGTTATCAGACAGGTCGCCCGGGCGCTGCAAGGCAAAACAATCGCAGCGGATGCGGCCACTCTTCTCGACGACGAAGATCATCGGACCGAGTTGTGGTTGGATGAGTGTGGGAAGTACGCCGCCAATGCACAACGTTCTCGCGACATATACCACGCGATGTCGCTCGTCGCGTACCATTTGATGGGCTATCACGAGTACGTCGTCAAAAAGGGGAGGGAGCTGCTCGCCGGAAGTCTTGACGAACTTTGGTCTAACAGACCTACCTGTGGCACTCGCTTCTACCTGGGCTTGTCGCTCATCGCGCTTGCAAAGGAGAAGCCCGAAGAGGAGCGTGGACCTTATATCGAAGAAGCGAGGGAGATGAAACGCTTTATTGACGACTGGGGTAAAGTCAATGACGTGAACTACTTTGCCTGGTCCAGGATACTTGAATCCGCGATTTCCGACATAACACAAGTGTACTACCACGTCACTTCCAACCTCGAAATGGCCATTGACCACTGTCAAGTCCATGGCTTTGCAATGGAGGAGGCGCTGGCTATGGAAATGCAGGCGGATTTTCTGCTCATGCGAGGAGCAAAGAGAGCCGGCAAGGTCATGATTCAAGAAGCCATTGCCGCTTGGAATAGAATCAATGCCGCTGGGAAAGCTCGACAACTTCAAGAGAAGCATGAGTGGCTGATCAAAACCGCCACTACCTCGAGGACCATGGACGCCACTACCCAGACCCAGGATTTGCACGCATTAACAGTCGGTGAAGATGCGCAGATCCAGAACAAGCGCGAGTATACAAACCAGTGGGTACAACCGAAGGCAGCGGTTGCGACCCAAACGCCCCAGGATGTGCCTGGCCTGGGCCTGGATATCCTAGATCTCACGTCTATCCTCGAGTTCTCACGCGTCATTAGTTCAGAGCTTCAAATCAACAATCTCCTATCCAAGATGATTTCAGTCATTCTGGAATCTGTTGGAGGTCAAGCAGAGTTCTGCGCAATCGTTATCGACTCTGAGGATCAAGGATGGTGTGTCGCGGCAAGCGCAGACCATGAAACAGGTGTCAAGACTTACCCTGATGGGATTCCTTTCTCTGAGGTCGACGATCAAGCTGCCCAGCAAATCACCCATTACCTCCTTCGGACGAAAGAGACTGTGTTTGTGCACAACGTGCTCGAGGATGATCGGTTTTCCAATGTTGGTGATGCCTACTTAGCAAGGAATCCTCACGGCCGGTCCATCATTGCCATTCCTATCATCCAAGCTGATCATTTGATGGGTGTCATCCATCTGGAGGGGCGGCCAAACGCCTTTACCCAGCGCAACATGATCGTCCTCAACCTTCTCACCAATCAGGTTGCCATCTCCCTTGGCAATGCGCTCCTTTACAGAAAGGTTCGCAAGGTTAGCGCATCAAATGCGAGCATGGTCGAGTCGCAGAAGCGCGCCCTCGTGGCAGCTCGCGAGGCAGAAGCTAAAGCCAAGAAGGCCGAGGCCGAGGCCATGCACAATGTCAAACTGAAGGAGGAGGCAGCGAAGGCAAAGTCAATTTTCCTCGCCAACGTCAGTCACGAACTCCGAACTCCACTCAACGGCGTGATTGGTATGTCCGAATTGCTCAAGGGCACTCCTTTGAGTAAAGAGCAAGAACAATATGCGGACAGCATCCGGGTCTGTGCAGATACTCTCCTTACCGTTATCAACGACATCCTGGACTTTTCGAAGCTCGAGGCCGGCAAGATGCAGATGTTCACAGTCCCTCTAAATTTGAAAGAGACTATCACCGAGGTGGTGCGGGCGCTAGCCTACACTAATCAGGAGCACGGGCTCAAGACCGTCGAAGATCTTCAGATAGACGATAACCTGGTCCTCGGTGACCCTGTTCGCCTTCACCAGATATTTATGAACCTCCTGAGCAATGCCTACAAATTCACTCCCAAGGGTTCCGTCACGGTCAGAGCTCGAAAGAATGCCGAAACGAGAGACAAGGTCAAGATTACATGCTCTGTTGCCGATACAGGTATCGGTATCACGCAGGAGCAGCTCACGCGCCTTTTCCAACCTTTTTCGCAAGCCGACTCGTCCACGGCGCGTTCATATGGAGGCAGCGGCCTTGGTCTCAGCATCTGCAAGGCCATGATCGAAAATGTTCTCGGTGGAAAGATCTGGATTGAATCAACGCCTGGCGTCGGCACGACGGTGTCATTCACACTTACATTCCAAAAGGCACCCAAGAACAGCAGTGTGCCCAACGAGATTCAAATTTCGGCCAAGGACCCAGACCCCATGGCAAATTGGTCACAGTCGGCCAGTCCAGAGACAGAGCAAAAGACTTACAGTTTCTGTGATCTGAGCAAGGTTCCCCGTGAGGAATTGCGTGTCTGCATCGCTGAGGATAACCAGATCAACAGGAAAATTGCCATCTCGTTTGTCAACCGGCTTGGCTTGAAATGTGAAGCTTATGAGGATGGGAAGCAAGCCTACGAAGCTTTGCAGACCAAGAGTAGGGAAGGGAAGCCATTCCACCTGGTCCTGATGGATGTCCAGATGCCTGTACTGGATGGTTACGAAGCCACCAAAGCGATTAGAGCCGATGCGGACCCCAATGTCAGTCGAGTCCTGATTATCGCCATGACGGCTTCGGCAATTCGTGGCGACAGAGAGAAGTGCCTCGAGGCCGGAATGAATGACTACCTTGCCAAACCTGTCCGTCAAACTGCTCTAAAAGCTATGCTGGACGAATACCTCCACAAGAGTAAAGGAGCGGCAGAGAACTTTATGAAGAGTTCCGCGTCCAAACCAGCCACTGTCGGTGGCGCCAATGGCGCTGCAGAAGGCGGTAGCAAGTCTGGCAGCTCGACTCCGAACCGTCAAGACCCACCGATGAGCCCGATAGAAAGACCGAAACTGCGACGCCCATTCAAGAGGGTTATGAAGAAAGTCGAAGCCAGCGTCGCCGAGGTGAGCGGAGAGACCAACAACGAATCCAAGACCACAGGGGCAGAGAATGGTGAAGCTGCAACCCCGAGTCCTCCGAGTGGCAAAAGAGCAACAGATGAATTAGGGAAGATCACCTCGGACCAAGTCACTCCCAAACCGGCTCTGGAAATTGGTATATCAACCACCAATGGACATGTCAATGGCGAGGTGAACGGCACCGGCCATGACACCGAGGCAGCGCCGTCGTTCACCTTGACGGAACGACCGGCCAACACAGATCATACAAAGGCGGAACCATCGTGAGGAGATAGGGAAGAACACGGATTAGAATCTTGGCTTTGGAATGATGATATGATAGCGTACGGTACATGGCGTCATGAATATAGAAAGGGACAAGCTGGAGGCGGTGGCGGCAATATGCAATATCGATGCATTGATCAGCACGAGCTGATCGGGTTATTGTTGTACTCCCTGTTAGGGCTGGGACTCTTAAGGTCACGCTTTTTTTTTGTCTCAAGTGGACTTGAGTGGAAAAGCGTTGATGCAGCCATACAGTATATGGTATTTGGCTGGGAGCAGGGAAGAGGCGTGGGCTGGTTAGCCAACCTTTTCCTTTGCATGGAATGAGAAGCCTTTCTGTCCATACAACCTGACCCAGGACCGGTACCAGTCAACTCATCGAGAGTATCTGTCCTCGCAGCTCGCCCACCGCATGATGATAATAAGAATAACCGCCATTCGCTGGTATAGGCCAGAAATAGTCCAAAAATAGACTAGTGCGCCAAGCGAAGTGAGGCCACAGCCAATAATATTGATGCGTGGGTTCGCCGCCGCTGCATCTTCAAACCACGCAATTTACGCCGATAAGCGCGAGGAGACGAGACTCGGTGTGTGCAACTTGCCCCGTCGCCATTTATGACACTGTATGCGGTCGACCTCTGAAGCTGGGTAATATCAGACACAGCCTCGATTGCGGACACAATGGCCCCAGTTCCCCCGTCGACTTGAGTGGTTTGGGGAAGCGACTGGCCATTTTCGTCTTCGTGGTTTAAGACAAATGCTCCTGATCGGTTTCGTGTGTGCCACCTCTGTCTATTTCGAGGGTCACGAGCGTGGATCCTGGTCTCTACTGGCTGCGACTCCTGGACAAATCTCTGTTTCAGCCTTCTCCCTTCTCGTGCTGGATGCCCATGGTTACCGTCTGCTTCGATTTACAACCACTTCAAGACTCCGCTCGATTGTTGCGCGCGCGAGGACTCGCCTTCAGAATGTCTTGTATTCTGGTCCACGGCGACAACGCTGCATGGCCACCACAAGGTCAACATGCTGGAGCAAGGTTGAAGTGACATTCGACCCACGCTCTCGTGCATACAAAAGGCTTCAATTCCTCGTCGACATGTAGCACCTTCTATCATCGTCCATCACAAACTCTCGTCTTTTTTGCTTTTCCTTGCAGTCCTTCGCTTTCTACATTCGCTTTCCAGGAGAATTCGATCGTTTACAACACGGCCAGGTTCGCTCGTTCAGATCTCTTTGTTTTGTTCCAATAATCGCCGCCATGAAATCTGCATTGAATGCTGGTCTCGTGGCCACTGTTTGGCTCCTACAGCAGGCTGTTGCGACGGGCTGGGGCGATTCGCCAACCTTTTCCAGCGTTTCTAATACTAACAACAATTGCTCGGTTGACCAGCAGAGTGGGTTTGACTGGTCTGGGCTGCCGACTGGGTCATTCAATAACTATGGAGGATTCGGCTTCAGTGGCTTTTCCTGCCAGAACTCCTTCCAGCCCAATTCAAAGAAAAGATCGCTTCGCATCCGTGATGACTTTCAGGTAAGGACACCAGTCTACCGAGCTTTGGAGACAGCTGACTGACCGGTGTTAAGTCTAAATGCATCCAAGGCAAAGTGAGCAAGTCTTCCAACAGTGGCCCGAAGTTCTCTTGCGGCCAGGATGACCAGTTCTCCATCACGCACATGCAAGTTTCTGTTTCCTTTGACACCGATCTGGACTTTATCTTCTCCATGCCCGATGGCTCCACCTGCAAACACACTGCGTCTTGCAGCGCAAGCGGCACCACCGTGGAGAACACGCAGTGCGGTGGAGCGAAATCCGTGTCGTTCCAGATGCCTCCGAGTAGCAATGGCAACGGTTGCGATATCGGGATTCACTCGATTGGCTTTGACTGCAGCTCCTCGTCACCTCCTCCCTCGTCTTCTTCGACGACGACAGCTCCAGCCACTTCGACCACCAGCACGCCTGTGACCACAACTACAACTTCGCCAGTCGAAACCACCACAACTACGTCAAAGGTCGATACGACAACCACGACTACTTCGGGTGAACAGACTACCACGAGTACTACATCACTTGCGGGTTCAACCACAACCACGCCTGAGCAAACTCCAAGCACTACCACTCCCTCCACCGAACAAACTCCAAGCACTACCACTCCCTCCACCGAACAAACTTCGAGTTCTTCTCTTACATCTACGACCACACCCCAAGAGACTCCAGGTACCACCACAACTACACCTTCTGCTGGTCAGACCACAAGCCCTTCAACCTCACCGAGTCAGCAGTCTACTAGCAGCTCAGATTTTGTCACTACAACCACGGCTGACACGACAAGCTCGACCGAGACTGCGACCGACGTGATCACGACGGAAATTGTGGTGACGACACTTACCACTTGTCCTGTAACCAACACCCGCACGAGTGGCACCGAGACTGTGACTGAGACGACCAACACCATCTCAACAATCACAATCACCTCAACCTCGACGGTCTGTACCCGTTGCAACAGGCCTCCACCCTCGACACTCTCTACTGCTACACTTCCCCCTGTCACTACAAAAACACCTCCAACATCTCCACCTGCGTCGCCTCCGCCATCGTCCTCCCCGACCACACCAGCTCAAACCCCGCCACCCTCATCATCTGCTACGACTCCACCATCTGAGTCATCAACGCCGTCACAGCCTGTCTCCACACCCACCTCATCCCCAGCCTCGTCACCACCAGCTGCACCTCCGGCACAGCCAACATCCCCCTGCCCCTCGGTACTGCCCTCCTGCATGAACACGTGGCTTTCGCTTGTGCCCAAATGCGCCTCGAACTCGGACACGACATGCTTCTGCCCTTCGCAGCAGTTCATCAATTCCGTCCAACAGTGTGTCTCTGCGTGGGGGGCGTCGAATGACGAGATTACTGCAGCGTTGTCATACCTGGCCGGGATTTGCGCCGATTTTGTCCCGCAAAATCCGGGCATCTGCACTGGTGTACCGAGCACCATCACGCTTGTGGCTACGCCTGCGCCTACTGTGTCGGTGACAGATACAGTAGGAACGCAGGTGCAGACGGTGACCAACACTGGCACGGTCACCAATGGCAACGGCCGTGGACCGCGACCTCCTGCCTCTGGGTCAGGTGTCTCTGCTCCATCTCCGACCCCGTCGGTCGCCTTCCCTGTCACCACCGTGACGTTCACACGCACTTCTTCGGGGAGTACCATTACCACCGCGGTTACAGTCCCACAGGTCACCTTTGTCACTGTCCAACCTACCGGGTCTGCTGATTCCCCTGCAGGCGGCAATAGCGGTAACAGGGAAGTTGGCTTGGTACCTATGCCCACTGCTCCTCTTGCGGGTGGTTCCGGATTTGGATCTGCCTCTGGGTCTGGGAACGGAGGGGCAGAAGCTGCGGCCACAGCCACGAGCTTCGTGCCTGGGCCTACGGGCTCGAGCACTGGCGCGGGGACACCCTCGGTCACCCCGGACATCTTCACCGGGGCTGCAACCAGGCAGAGCGTTGCTTGGGGCGTTCTTGCGGGGGTATTGGGTCTTGTTGCCTTTTTGGTGTGATTGGGAAAACACTGGGCGGGGGAGACTGCATGATGGGAGGGAGAACATGGCGAAGTCAAGATGAATTGGGAAGGAATGTTATGTGTAGTGTTTATTAGTGTGGACTGTTTATGACCCATGACCTTTGGGATGGGAAATGGGAGTTTGGGGGAATTGACCACGGAGATTGTGTTTCTTGTACTCGGAAGTAATGTGCATCCAGACATACGTATATACATATACATGACAAAAAGAAATATTATTGTATTTGCGGATTGAAGAGGATCAGGAGACCAGATGATAAATACTCTACGTGCTGTATACATCCATATTCGACATCGACGGAAAGGGAAGTTAGGTACGTACACCCGTTTGGGAAAAGGATACGCCCGTTTGGGACAGGGATACACCCTTTTGGGAAAAGGAGCAAACCCGCTGCTCAGCCGAATACGGAATCTAGGTTAGTGCACGTGACTGGCCTTTTGTGGTAAGCCTACAACATTAGTCGGGTAACCTTCCTCGAGGCGGGTTTCGGCGGGTTTCGTACAAAGGCCATTGCATGCCAAAAAGACCAGCAGAATCTCGTCCGCACCCAAAAGTTTGTTCTTATCGTTGGCGGCGCATCCCTCGCTTTGGGTGGACACCCAAGCACCCCAAGCACCCACCCCGATGCAACCGAGATATATAAAACCATAACCCACCAACATACAGCCTGGATCCCTCGGGTTCATATTCAAAGGCATCGATGATCAGGTCCTGCTAACATAATATCATTCGGCTTTGATTCCTCTCCACACCCTCATTGTATTGTCGGTCATCTAACAAAAAGTCGCTCAATCGAGATTCGGATCTCGAGGGCGGAAGTCAAGCAGACGCTGCCATCAGAGAAAAGCACCGCCAGATCAGACGATGCAGGCGCCGACACCCGGGTCCAGCATGTCCAGTCGTGCCGAGGAAAAGTCGGACGTGCGAAGACGGGTGTGGAGGACGTTGCGCACGGTGGCCCGGCCAGACTCGCGGTTCCACTTCGACTTCACCAGCTTCATCACGGACTTTGAGGGGTCAGACCGGGCGACGGCGCGGCTGGTCGAGCTGTCGTGCTACAGGGACTCGAGCGTCGTCTTCATCACGCCCGACAATTGTCTGGAGGAGCTTCGACTACGGGCGCTGCGGGACGGCAAGACGGTGCTGATGACGACGTACGGCATCCGTCGCGGGTTCTGGGAGCTGGACCCCCTCAAGATCGACGCGAGCCAGTACGCCAACGCGGCCATCCTGGACGGCATGGAGAGGCTGGGCACGCCGCTCAGCCTGGCCGACATCCTCGCCAGGGGCTGGCGCATCCCGTTGATGGTGACGGGCACGGGGGCCATCAACACGCGCGGCGTCCGCTTCGGCAAGGGCCACGGCTTCTTCGACCTCGAGTGGGCCATCCTCTACACCCTGGGCGTCGTCGACCGGTCCACCGTCGCCGTCGCTGTCGTCCACGACTGCCAGGTCCTCGAGGAGGAGCTGCACCCGGAGGAATTCGACACCATCTGCGAAGTCGTCGTCACCCCGACCCGCGTGTTGCACGTCCCCGACGTCCAGAAACCCACCTGCGGCGTGCTGTGGCCGCTCCTCCAGCCAAACATGATGGAGCGCATTCCGCCACTGCAGGAACTCAAGGCCATGAGTTTGCAGAAGTTGTGACGTTATCAGGAAACGTTGACGGATTTTTTTTATTTCTTGGGGGCAAAGTGTGTGGACGTGTGGGATGTGAAGAGAGATATTCGGGCAGTTGATACCAAAAAAAAGATCTCGTGCAAATAAACCATCTTAATTTCCTACTACTATTTGTTGTTTCACTACACTTTTGCTACTTTTGCTACTTGCTACGAGGAGCCCACGTACATAGTTGCTGTAGGTGCACCAGCTCGATGAGTGTAATGCCATGTGCCACGTGCAGTGTGCAGTGTGTAACGTGCAATGTGTATGTGTCATTCCCTAACCCATCGTGTTAGTCATGCTGGCTGTGTGTGTGTGTGTGTGTGTGTGTGTGTGTGTGTGTGTGTGTGTGTGTGTGTGTGTGTGTGTGTGCCTTCCAACTCCTTCCTCCTCTTCTCTCTCTCTCTCTCTCTCTCTCTCTCTCTCTCTCTCTCTCTCTCTCTCTCCACCTTCAAGCGGAAAGTCTCAAATCTCAGCCGCATCTCTAACAAAAATTATCGTACATCCCCCGGCCCATCCTATCCTATCCTATAATCCATAATCATCCACCACCACCAGCGCCCGACACCGACAAATGACAACCATCGTATTCCGACGTATCTACCCTGCCGACCTGGGTGCGGGCCAGTTCAACAAAACTGGTCCGACCGCCTCTTGGGCAAATATCTACTCCGTACTAGGTACGTGGGTAAAAAGCTTCTCTTGGACAGTAGATCTTGTACGGTAGGCGGAGGCAGTAGGCGAGTACCTACCTCGTAAACGGAGGAGATTCCCGACCGACCCGCGCCAAAAGGACAGAGCACAAGGTTACAAGGTATCCACGATGTAATGGTCCTTTTTATTTTAGGCGGCTTAGCGTGGCAGCGTGGGCGGGTGAGCTCTCTGGACTGTCCCGCACCCGGCGATGCGATTACGATAACAAAAATAACGAAGAGCGGAGGAAATTGTTTGGGGCTCGCCCGCCTCCCCGCCCGCCCCAGCCTTTCGGGTTTTGAGGGACAGGGTGGTGGTGGTGGTGGTGGTGGTAAAATATACTTTCATTACCGGTAAGTTACAGTGTAATACGGGAAAATAAATGTCTTGTCATAAACCTCGATACGTACCACCCCTCCTCTCTCTGCGTGCTCGGTAGACCAGACGAGAAAGGCGGTCGACTCACCCGCACCTGCATGATAGCATGATAGAATCGTGGCAGTGGTCCTGGACGGACGATGCCAAGGCTTGCTCCGTAGCCATCACCGCACCGGGTCGGCCGTTGCAAAGACGTCGCTGAACCAAGCCTCAAAGTCCTCGTTGGCAGACACGGACAGATTGTGTGCATCGACCGCTGTGGCAGCTGCGTCAGGGCCGCCCTGTGGTTCATGTTCATAGACTTGTCCCCCCTCGTAGACAAATGGCGTGGCCAGATCGGCTGCCCCCAAGAAAGCCCAATCGGCACTGAAACGCTTCACAATGTCGTGAAAATCAATCGTCTTCGTCTTCGGGTGTGGGTCTCTCAATCTCTCACTAACTTCTGTTTCCGTCGTGGCTTCGTTGCCGTCTCCGTCTCCGTCGTCGACTTCTGCGAGGATGGCGTCGACCAAAAAGATCCCACGCCTGGCCAAGATGTCGTGCTTGCGGCCTTCGAGACGACTCGTGGCCGTCCGGACCAACCCCCTAAACATTTCGTGTCGGTCCTCGGAATGGGTGGCTTGGCCCATGACGATTTCAAAACAGAGGATAACAGTAGCCGTGATGCAGAATGCCGTGTGAGTCCACAGACACAATTCTCCCGACTGGGCAATGTTCTCGTGTTCTCGCAGAATCGTCACGGCCGCAAACACACACGTCTGTCTTGTGCGGGCATAGGCGTCGGAGAGAAACGACCGGAAGATGAATGGTCTGTGGATCATGATGATCTAGCTCGAAGTCAGTCACAGACTGCATAACATGCACCCTGAGATAAGTCGCCATACCTTTTCCGCCGCAGTGATGGCAAGACTGCAACGGGCAATCCCCAACCAGCCCACCAGTGCCTCCTTTTGAGCGTCGTGACGAAGGAGGAAGTCGGGAATCGTCTGCACAATGTCGCGCATCTTTTGGTCCATGCGTAAAACGTGCTGGTATTGTTCTGCCAGGGACTTTCGGGCGTTCAGCGGTCCCAATCCGTCGACAAAGTCGGGCATCAATTTGGCAATCGTGGCCAGCACCCGGGTATATGTACTGATGGTGGGGACAGAGTCTGGTCTCGCAGCGAGATCATGGTCATGGGCATTGGTGGGGAGACTGGTGGAATATTGAGCGGGATTGATGGTGTAGGAATCGGTAAAGGGTATGGCAAAGTAGTCTTGGATGATCATCTGGCACCAGACCCTTCTGCCCACCTCTTTTTCGACCGTCTCATGCCAGGCCTCTTCGGCGGTCAAATGGGGGGACACGCCGTCTTGAATCTTGTGCACCCCCAGACACTCTGCGATCCTGATGGCGGCGCTGAAGAGGGTGGCGTTGAGCTGGCTCAGCCCGAAATTGTGCGCCACCTCGGTCGAGATGACAATGGCCTGGACGGCGTAAAAGGATATGTTTTGGAGAAAGTTGCTCGCGTAGAGCACCTCGACCATGGTCTTGAACAGCTGCTGCGCCGTTTCCCGCCCGGATTCGAGGTCGCATTCCTCGAGAAACTGGGCACTGTTTTGGACGCAGAACAACGTCGTACTCAGGACGGAGTAGTACAGGGCGATCCACTGGGGATGGTCGCACTTCCCCGTCTGCCAAAACACCTGGCACTGTCGCCAAAAGGTCGGCGAGTGGATGCAGTTATGGTGCCAGATGATGCGTGTGAGATGGAAGGACACCAATCTCTCCGCGTCGGCACAGCCTGGAAGAGTGGCCACGGCCGCCATGGGGGACGCGGCAAAGTCGAACGACTGGCTGTTCATCGGGGACGTGGCTATCCAATGTTGTCGATACAAACAGGCACAATGTCGGTGCGGGTAGCAGTTGCCATTACTGCGGCCCCAAGCCAGATGTTCCACCGCCGTCACGATTGCTGAATCCTGTCCTTCGCCGGACGTCGTCGCATCGTTATCGAGGTTGCCATTACCCGACTCGAGTCGGACCTGGTCAAGGCTGGCGTTTGGATTCAAACTCGTCCCCGATTTGAGTAACTCGATATGATCCGTCAGTCTCTGGACGACACTTTCGATCTCGGTCGGTTGAGCCCGTTCCAGGTCCTCCCTGATGGAGGTCAAGAATTGAATCTCCAGGCCATTCCGACCCAGCTGGCGACGGATGTGGACGACCTCGCGGCTGCAATTGAGTCCTAGCCGCTCGCACCTCGAACAGGGTATGGTCTTGTCACATTTTCGTTTTCGCCTGGTACATTCTGGTCTTGTATCAGTACCGTGCACTTCGGTATTGACGAGCCAAAAAAAAAAAAAACAACTCACCCCAACAAGCCAGGGGTTGGCGCTGTGAAACACGGAGTTGTGTCGACATGGGGACAATCCCGGGGGGAGGGGGAATGCCTGAATTTACAGCATCGAGGTGGCTGTCATTGGGCGAAAGAGACACGGGGTGCAGAATTGGGAAAAGGCGACGGCTCTGGGAAATATATATTCGTCCTATTAGTACGTTGCCGCACTCTGTCTTGGGTGTGCCGATTCGTTGCCAGATCCACTCGGAATAGGGCCCTCTCGCGCTAGGACACTTGTCAAGAGTCTAACAGATGCAGATAAAGGCAAAAACTTAAAGAGATACGATACCGAAGTGTAGAGAAAATTACCGAAAGGGGAAGGGCATGTATTGCAAAAGGCTGCGTCCCGTGAGCACTACGAGTATATATACAGTAATACAGGTATATACAGTGTCGACTCGACAATCCAGGACATGTTCCGATACTCCTCCACAGTATGGCCGTCTAGAATTACTTTGCCAGTTTCGACATGGACCTGATTTTGGGACCGAAAAAGTAGAGCACATAGACCAGGGCCACCAATGCAAACGAGATGAAGCCCAACACAGCCATTGCCCATTTGGCGCTCATATTCTCAAACATGATAATTCCTAGCAAACAATTAATCTCGGGGTCTTTTTTTGCCTGGTCACTTGTAGGGAGAGACTCACCAATATGTGTACACGCTCCGGCGATGGCGAAAGATGGGATGCAGAATGCCGCAATCGCGGAAGCGGCAAAGTTGGTGTAGCTGTCGGCAATGTAATTGAGCATGCTCAACCAGAGCAGAGGGTCGCAGAATCCCAAGACGGCGCCGGCGACAATGGGCGACCAGTAGTTGGTGTTGCCGTCGCAGGTGAAGGCGAACCACAGTAGCGACACCGGGAACAGCCAGACGGTGACCAGCGAAGTCAGGAATCGAGCCTCGGGACGAGCGTGGCCGTGCTTGAGTCGGTCCCTGGTGAACAAATGCGTCTGGACGGGCAAGAAGAGAAAAACGATAAAGGCGCCGACGACGAAATTGAGATATGTCAAGTCGGCTGCCATGTAACTAAGCACAAGTTAGTAATGCCATCACACAAAGGACGAGCCTGTCGTCATCACTTACGAAAGACCATTGTTGACGACAAAAACATTCCACACCCCGTCGAGGTAGAGATAGAGTAGACCATAGGCGAATCCGTTGAAGACGCCCAAAAAGAGCACAATCGGTTCGGTGACGAGGATCCGCAGCGCCATGGTCACCACAAACACCGTCTCACGGACAAGGTCGAAGCGTTGGTGAGCAACTACGTTCTCCTCAGGGTCTGGGTTCTGTTGGCGCCTGGCAGCGTTCCTGATGACCACCCGGGGCAGCGTCTCGGGGATGAAGCACATGCCGACGGCAAAGGCACCGCCAATGATGACACTAACAAAAAAGTCAGTAATCCCCGTAGTGCTTCAGGGTTAGTCTGTGTACGTACTTGATCCAGAATATCCACGGCCGACCCATGCTGGTGTTTTCAACAATCAACTCGCCAACAGGAGATCCGATGCCCGGGCCAATGTTGGCACT